CCCCACCCAGGCCCCCCCTCCCCGCCTACTCCCACCTGTCCTCCCTTTCTTCCCACTCCTGGCTTCCTTCCCTGTGCCATCTGCTCAGGCCCAGATTAGCTCCATGTGCCTGCTGCTGCTTATCCTCAGAGCCCCCTGGATTCTGGCAGTGGGGATCTGCTCTGTCCCCATCCGCCCAGCTCCCCACTCACCCTAGGACAGCGATGCCACTGGGCCTCAGTTTCCTTATCTGTTCCAGGAAGCACCGATCTGTGAGACTCGGGGGTGTGGTTGGTGTGGCACCTGCATAGCAGTAGGCCCTCAGTGAACAGTGCCCGTGGGTCCCATTGTCACCCCCACGCTGAGGTGGACCCAAGCTCTTGGGGGTCCTTCAAGGGCCGTCCTGTTGACCTGCTTAGGAAGAAACTCTCAGTGGCTTCTCCCATCTTTGTCTTCAAGATGGCAGCCAGAGGTCCAGGAATTCATCAACCAGCTGGAGAGGGAGTCGACCAGCCAGCCCCTTCTTTCCAAGGCCAAGGTCACAGAGCCCAAGAAGTTCAACCTGACTGTCCCCAGGCCCCGTGCCATTCCAGTGCCTGAGCCTGTCCCTGTCATGCCCAAGCCAAGACCAGTAAGTGCCAGCGTTTGCAGTGGGCACAGGCTGTCCAGGCCGGGAGAGTGGAGCCCATGGGCCAGTGGGGGGCTGGGCTCTTCCCAGGGCTGAGGGGACACTGGACCAGGCCAGGACAACTGCATTCGATGGTGGCTAGATGGGAAGATGGATGGACAGGTGATGGGTAGATGGATGGATAGATGATGAATGGATGGATGATGGATGATGGGTGGATGGATGGATGGATGGATGGGTGGACATACGATGGGTGGAGAGACCATCAGGAGCCTGTTGCTGAGCAGCCCCACAAACGCCCTGTCTGTAGGATCTTCAGCGTTTCTGGCCCCATATCCTCAGGACTCAGTGTGTTTATCTTTGGTTATCCTTTCACCTGCATCTCTCCCTCTCTGCCTGGCCCCTGTCTGCCCTTTGCCACACTCTTCCCTGCTCCTTAGTTGCCTATGTGCCTCTTGGCATGAATTGTGAGATGTTGGTAGACAGTCATTTCCCCCTGGGGTCATAGGCAGTTGTGCTGGAACCACAGGCTCTCTCCCTCCAGCCTCCCTGCCCTGCTCCATGCCCAGGACCCTCTTCCCCTCCTGGGTTGAGGGCTCATTTCAATCACTCATTCAGCAAGTATTTATGGACTGCCTAACATGTGCCAGGCACTATGCCTTCATGGAGCATTCCCTGCAGTGGGGGACTCAGAGAAAAAAACATGATAAGTAAAATGAGTGGTGTGTTGGCCAGTGATAAATGCTGAGGAGAGAAAATCATTCATGGAAAGGGGATCAGAGGCCTTGGAGGAGGTGCTGTTCTGGAGAGCGAAGCCAGGACAGGCCCCCTGAGAAGGCCGTGGAATGAAGAACTGGAGGAAGTGGGCAAGTGAGCCATGGTTTGTCTTGGGGAGAGCATTCCAGACAGAGGTAGCATAGGCAAAGGCCCTGGAGCAGTGCCTCCTTCTTGCAAGTGCTGGTGGGGCTGGAGTGGAGGCAGGAGGGGATGGGGGAGGAGGTACTGGGGGAACAGACAGGACACACACTGAGGTGGGCTCGCAGGGTCTGTCTGGCTGCAGCAGCAGAGGAGGGTGGTAAGAGGTGGGTTTTGGAGATGACTTAAAGCAGCTGGACTGCTTTTGAGATGGATGTTAGAGACAGAAGGATGCTGAGAGGGGTGCCAAGGAGGACCCTGAGACCTTGCCCATCGGCCAGGAA